AAGGACCGCGGGCAGGCGGGCGCGCCCTTTGCCGTTCCCGGAAGTTACTTACTTCCACCAGTGGTGGGTTCCTCTCCCCGTCACTAACGGTACGGTGCTCACGGGACCACACATCCTTTCGTGCACACGCGCTGTGCACGCATGCGCACTCCACCGCCCCTGCGACACCCAGGTTCTTGTCGGAGATCGCGCAGGCGCCACCCGCTGGGCACGCCGGTTGCTTTAAAAACCGGTATAGAACGCGGGTGGGCGGGCGGGCCAAACAACCCACCGTACGAGTATGCAGTTAGCTGCTCCTGGCTACTACCGGTACGCCCGTACCGGCGGGAACCCACCACTACGCTGTGCCACAAAATATTTTGTTCCGATTTAAAACAAGCGATAACCGAATCAATGAAAAGCTTCTATGATGGTCCTTGACTAACAAGAATTCGTTTTGTGACTACTCAAACTTAGAAAGGCACTGAAAAAAGTGAGTTACGAACGTTATTTTTTCCACACTTATGACGGTTGGAGCATCCCCAAGGTCACACGATCGAAATTCGGACGCTTGGCAACCGACTCCTACTTATGACGGTTGCGGGGGTGGGTGGGTCACGTGATCCCCTTTTGTGACCTTCTGACAAGCAAAGTCAAATGGGGAAGCCGGATTCACTTAACGACCGTGCTACTAATTTATAACAACGGCAGAGATTCACTTAACGGCAGCCAGTAAGTTCGTAAAATGGGGCAAAACCCGCTTAACAACTGTCTCGCTTAGCAACAGAAATGTTGGGCTCCATTGTGATTCTAAGTCAAGGACATGCCTGTCTTCGTTTATATGGCAATAAAACACTGCTAGGATCTGCTAGGAAGTTGGGCTTGATTTGAACATAAAAACACATAATTCTCTTTCCTTAGAAAGAGAATTAATGTTTAATTCAAATATTTCAAATATTTAAGCAAAACCTTACCTCAGTGAAGCAGTACCTTCAAAGAGCGCACGGATCTTGCCTTGAATAAGTCAAATTCTTTTAAGCAAAGTCAGCCTATATTAGCATTAAAAAACTAAATGCACTCAGATTTCAATTTAGATTATGCTCAGTGTCTCTATAGCGGTGATAGTTAACTCTTTTGGTGCCAACTGCCCAAAGCGCACAAGTGCGCGCATGCACGCATGCCCCAACACCACAAATGCAATGTGAGCACCCCATGCACATGTGCTCCACCCTACGCATGTGCCCCATTCCCATGCAAGCACCCCACCCCTACACATGCACCCTGCCCCCACGCATGCACGGACGATCCCTGTGAATGCACCCCCGCATTCCTGCCTCCCATGCCTTCCCTGATCTTTGCAGTAATTTCAAATGGTCACTAAGTGAACTGTTGTAAGTCGAGGACTACCTGTATTATTCAGGTCAAAAGATGTGCAACAGAAGATGATAGTGGGAATGTCAGGATACCAGCTGCTGTAAAACTGTAAACTGGGATGATGAAATGGGAATGAGACAGCCAGGTTACTGCCACTTTAAGAAGCTGTATATATAAGGGAGGCCATGCGAGGGCATCTCTTTCTCCTCGTGTGTCTCTCTCTCCTCCTGTATCTATCTGCATTGTAGTTCTCTGTGTAGAGTTGAAGATTGATTGCTTGCCTAGTAGTTGCCTGACATGTGTACGTATGTGTATATATAAGTCTTGTATATAAACCATTGTTTGAAAGACAAACCTTTGTGTATTTTGCTCCTTTTGTTTCAAAATAGTAGTCACGCTGTGTGCACTCTGACAGGGAAGATTTACAAAGCTGTAGAAAAATGTTGTTATCGTACATATCAAGTTCAGTACTTACTCTCAGACGCTTTCTGAAATTCTGAGGCCAGAGTTTGAGTCACTGCTGTCCAGAAAGTGTACAAAATGTCGGACTGGCCATCCTACAATGAAAGAAGACAAGATTGGCCACAATTAAAATGTGCTCCAAATTTAGAAACATTAAAAAAAACGATGGCTGGGGGGAAAAAACCACCTCGTGGTCCATCAAGCATTCCCTTTGAGCTCATTTTTTTTATTAATTAATAAATTTTAATTATTATTTTATATTGTATGATTTTTTATTTTTATTAAATTTACAACTTGGAAAGTTCTCTCCTCTCTTGACCCGCGCTTCTTAATGTAAAGTAAAATTAAATTGAAAAAAATTGGGGGGGGGGAGAGACATACATTGAATTTCACAGTTACTAAGATTGTCGGATGAGCAGGCACAAAAACAGCCAGGGAAATAATTGAAGCCTGGGAAACGGTCAACAGGAGTGCTGATTTACCCCCAGCTTATCAAATACTTAGGAGGCAAGGGTTTGTTAGCCGATGACTTACTGTATTTTTCAGAGTATGACACACTCTCCCCCCCCCACCCGCTAAAAGAGGGTGAAAATTTGGGTGTGTCTTATACAATGAATGTAGCCCCACCCACCCACCGGCCCCCACCCTTTGGCCTCTTCCTCCCAGCAATTTGCCTCCTTGCAGCAAATGGCAAACAGCCTGTTTCAGTTTCAGCAC